GCTGGAGGCAGTGGAGATGTCATGTCTGAGGGCAATGTGTGGTATGAATATAATGCAGAGAATTCGTAGTTTGGAAGTTAGGAGGAGTTGCGGGATTACCAAAATGTTGTCCAGAGGGCTGAGGAAGGGTTGTTGAGGTGGTTCGGACATGTAGAGAGAATGGAGCGAAACAGAGTGACTTCAAGAGTGTATCAGTCTGTAGTGGAAGGAAGGCGGGGTAGGGGTCGGCCTAGGAAAGGTTGAAGGGAGGGGGTAAAGGAGGTTTTGTGTGCGAGGGGGCTTGGACTTCCAGCAGGCATGCGTGAGCGTGTTTGATAGGAGTGAATGGAGACAAATGGTTTTTAATACTTGACGTGCTGTTGGAGTGTGAGCAAAGTAACATTCATGAAGGGGTTCAGGGAAACCGGCAGGCCGGACTTGAGTCCTGGAGATGGGAAGTACAGTGCCTGCACTCTGAAGGAGGGGTGTTAATGTTGCAGTTTAAAAACTGTAGTGTAAAGCACCTTCTGGCAAGACAGTGAGGAGTGAATGATGGTGAAAGTTTTTCTTTTTCGGGCCACCCTGCCTTGGTGGGAATCGGCCAGTGTGATAATAATATATATATATATATATATATATATATATATATTATATATATTATAATAATATAATATATATATATATATTATATATTATATATATATTTTTTCCAACAAGTCGGCCGTCTCCCACATATGTATATATATGTATGTATGCATGTATGTATGTATGTATGTATGTATGTATGTATGTATGTATGTATGTGTATATATATATTATATATATATATATATATATATATATATATATATATATATATATATATTATATATATATATATATATGCATGCACTGATAGATACATACCGAGAGGTGTGTATACAGGTACATACCTCTCGCTAAACCCTAATGGGTTTAGCTCTTCTTTTTTATTATAATAATCTCGATGTCTATGCGAATAACACACCTCTCTGTGTATACAGGTATACAACTGTGTATACAGGTATACAACTCGGTGTATGCAGGTATACAACTCTCGGTGTATACAGGTATACAACTGTGTGTATACAGAGATACAACTCTCGGTGTATAGAGGGATACAACTCTCGGTGTATACAGGGATACAACTCTCGGTGTATACAGGTATACAACTGCGGGTGTATAAAGGGATACAACTGTGGGTGTATACAGGTATACAACTGCGGGTGTATAAAGGGATACAACTGTGGGTGTATACAGGTATACAACTGCGGGTGTATAAAGGGATACAAATGTGGGTGTATACAGGTATACAACTCTCGGTGTATATAACATCAACTTGAAACTTTAATTCTGTTAAAAGTATTACTCTGTAACCTTTGCCAAGTATCATTATTTATTTATAATTTATTAATTACCTTAATGCATTACTTTATACCTTTACACTTTTCCATTGTATCATTGTGTAACTTAATATACTAATTTCTAATTTAATAATTTACTTACAGTATTACTTTATCTCACACTAATTTACTTTATTGTTTTATAACTTACTAACTCACCTGCTGTATCACTTTATAACTTATTAAGTCACTTTATCGCGTATTAATTCACTTATTTAAATTCGGTACAATTTATCAAAGTTAGGTTAGATTGACAGGTTAATTTAGTGCCAAAAACACTTAGTAGACTAAAAAATAAGTATATATTGTTTTACTTTTTGGAGGAAGAAGATCGGGGGGAGGGGGGAGGGGGGGGATCTTGAGGTTGTTGGTTGATGAATAAGTCACATGTGTAACTCAGATGCTGCATTTGACTTGTTCATCAACTTGATGGTGTTACGTATCATTAGTGTAATGATGTTTGTTGATTTGTATGTTAAGGTTTAAATTCTATAGACCACGCGAGGGTTGTTGAGGCTACATGTTACATGTACACCAGTCACGAATATTTTAATCTTTGCTATAGAAATTCAAGTAAACTCTTAGTGTGTATACAACGAGAGATACTGTATACTACACTTGGTGTATACACCCTCGACTCTGACCTTAATTTTTGTTCGTATATTTTAACACGTGGAAGGTATAATATTAAAATAAGATATGTAAATATATAATCTAAGATAAATATGAGTGTTGATACAGTTTTATTTTTTCTGTTTCCAGGTTTGCAAGACTTAAGAGAACGGCATTCCAGAATAAACGTTTAAGGGAATAAACGTTTAAAGGAGCTCTGGAATTACGTTTACATAATTCAGTTGTTGGAGAAGCAACGTTATCGAATCAGACTTTTACAAGAGAAACATAAGTAAACGTTTATGGTGGCAACGACCCTGTTTAATATTTGTCATTGATGAAGTTCGCCAGTGTGAGACTTACCACTTAGGTTATGTGTCAGGGTACGACGTTAGTGGCACACTGAGACTGACTTGGTTGGCTGAGAGGAGGGATACGCAGAGATGGTAAAAAGCCCTTCACAATGGAAACATGTCTAGGCTGTGTCTTAGGCAGTTGTGGGTACTGAGTTGTGGTGGTGCAGAGTGGTGTGAGGCATGAAGGAAGCTCCACCACCGTCACTTGCGAACACACTCTTGTGACCAAAGTCTGGCCCTAAACAATAACATCTTTCCCAGCGTTCTCTGGGTTTTTCTTAACCTTAAAACTATTTTTTTTGTTAATACCCGCCCCAGCTTTTCCTAGTTGGTGGTCCACAAGCCTGAAATCCGTTACGTTCCTGACTGAGGTGTCACGACTCCAGTATTTATTCTTTGTCACCTTTCCCAACCCTAGCTATCTGAAACCCCGTCAACCTCAGGCCACCTCACTGGTAAAACTCGCTTCCGATATCAGGAAAAAAAATTCACATTTCCAATATCGGAAATACTCGTCAAAACGCAAAATAATCCCGTCAACCCATCGTCATCAGTAGAACAAAGACAGCTCCTTCATCTACCTCCTTTCGCAACACTGCTAGTGATCTTATTATGCTGTCACTATCAATAAGTCTTTTAACTTGTCTTAGTCGGCAGGTTCACTCTGTTCACGATCCGGTGTGATCTGTGGTACTAGAGAGATCTACAACCTCGCTTCCCTGTGCCTCTCAGAGCGTCGGTGCCTTCAATAAAATGTCAGTTTATATGGCTAAGTAATCTTCGTGGATACTGTAGAGTGAGTCACGCGAACTTTGTGTGTATCACTGATAAGTTTCAGAAAGGTAGTGAATTGTCATGAGTTTACGATAAACTGTTAATTAAGTGGAGAAACTTTAGTAAGTGCCCCATTGAATTATGAGAGATATTGGTGAAGAGAATTTCAGTGTCTTAACGCAATGTCTGCGAAATGGCATATAACCTACTAACAGTAAGTGGTGATGAGGGGCTTGGTGTTCTTATCTATAATTCCCAGAGTAGAGGAATGACACCGAAGGATTTTGTGCAACAGAAAGTGTTAAGTGTCTTACTGCAGTGGCCACTCCGTATTCCGCAGTGAGCTTTGTGCAAGATTTTAAACGGTGCTCTTGACGGTTTCTGTTTATATTAAGGAAAAATAATATAATTTCAGAAACCCATAGAAGAAGTAGAATTTTGGAAAGCTGTAAATTAAGGACTGTGAGTTCGAGTGATTTTTTTTACTATAATAAGTGCGTGTTACAACTGCTTATTAATGAACACATTCTTAATCATTATATGAGGATAAAATCTGGTGTTAAACAGCAACTTTTTGACTTGATATTTCCGTAATTTCTGTTGACTTTTCGACTACTGCTGTAACCTGTGATGGCCAGCGATAACTTGCATTTAACCCTGGCGATACCTGGGTACCTCCCATAATCTCTGGTTACTTGTTTTTTTGCTGGTAACCTCTTGTAGCTTCTTAGTGAACACGATGGTGCGGGTGTCGTGGGGCGGCGAGGTGGTGATCGCTGACCTGGCTCACGTGGCGGGAGATGGCGGCAACGGCGGGGATGGGGATCGTTCACGCCCCATCAACGGTCCCCCTACGTCCACTAGCACCACGCCACTCACCGTCACGCCCACCACCTCGGCCACACCTTCCGAGACGCCCACAATATCCCCAGCTCCCACCCTGTCTACGCCTCCCACCGTCTCTCCACTCCCTCGAGCTCCAACAGCCATAGTGGAAGCCATGTCTGACGGAGACGAGAGCGCCGTTTCGACCTCCTTCTCCGACGATCACAGGTCCCTGAGGGACGACCTCCGAGACGACTTCAGCTCGCCGCGGCCGCAGCCTCGCAGTCCACGTCGTAGGCTGGAGAAGAACCACATCCTCAAGGTGGTGTCCGATGACGCCAATAATAACGGGAACGGAAACGGGGACATTACCATCAGCAGCGACGAATACCGCCGATTCCTGACGCTTAAAGGAAGTCCCCCTGACGCCAAAACTAAGGAAAAGGTGGCACCCAAGCCCCTTCCAGCTGAGGATGATATCCTCAGGTCCATGGATCGCATGCTGGCCACTCTGAGTGACTTGGAGGACGACCTTGAGCCTATAGACGGCGTCGAGACCGAATCCGACTCAGATTCTGACGAGGCCGAGGCTAGGAGAGAACTGCTGACTGACGTAAGTGCTCTGAAGTTTTATTGGTGTAGTGGTGAATACATGTTTCCTTTATTTAATACAGCAGCTGACGAGGTGTGAGAGTTGTGATGCTCTCGTGTCCTAACTGGTCATGTGTGTCTCTCTTTCGTGTGTTTGTTTTAAATTGTCATGCTTGTCTTTCCTTTGCTTATTTTAGTTAATTGGGTTTAGATCCTATGAATTACGTAAAGTCTCATTAGCCTTCCCTCAGCTTAAGGCCACATTATTAAGAGATAAGTTTCTGAAAGTTACAAGAAAATCTTCATGAAATTTATTTACATTTTCCCATAATTTTTTATATTATTTCGTGTAACACGAGTATACTAGCATATTTAAACACTTATATGAGTTTAATTATTCTTCAATTCTTCCTTTCAGAAATGGCGTCAATTGTTTGACAAGGTAAGTTAATATTTTAGAGGTAGTGAAGGTTGTAAACATTGGAGTGATATCGACAAACTGGATATAAGACACGTGTACAGAGTACACACATAACCAGCACATAGGAGAAAGAAGCTTATGACGACGTTTCGGCCTGACTTGTTAATGGTCCAAGCGAGACCGAAACATCATCATAAGTTTAAATCTCCTATACCTGGAGTATACTTGGAGAGCGTTCCGGGGGTCAGCGCCCCCATGGCCCGGTTCATGACCGGGTCATATGTGGATTATTTGTGTATTTCTCCAGTTACTGTATCGTGCCTTTTATTCTTTACACTTGTGTAATATTTAAGGACATTTATTGAAGGTTCTTGCTCGTGCTCACGGCTGCTTGGTAGAGTTTTCAGCTCACACTGAGCGAATCTGTCCCTGGTACGGGAGAGACGTTGGGCGTGTTGCCTTATACCTGCTGCCCCTGGTCACTTAACACTAAGTAGGTACCTGGGTGTTACTAGAATGTTGTGGGTGGAACCCTAGGGTGACACAATTAAAGGACCCCAGTGGAAATAAAACAGACCCCGATGGCGTGTGGACTTAATTGGGTTATCCCAGGCTGCTAACTCTCCAAGTTAAAAATCTGAACCCAGTCTAGGATAACCCACTAAAATCAGTGGATCATCGAGGACTGTCTGTCTTATTTCCATTTGGGTCCTTTAATCATGTCTTCCCCGGGATTCCATAACACCCAGATACCTACTTACTGGTAGGTGAACAGGGACAGCAAGTATCAGGAAACATGCCAAATGTTTCTACCCATCCTGAGGACTGAACCACAGACACTCAGTGTGTGAGGCGAGTACGTTGCCAGTCGCCAACCTTGATATTCAAGGTAATTAAATTGGTACTGCTTCAAATATTATTTCAATAAATACACCGTAGTGTTCGAATGTCTTTAAAAAGTATCATGCATTATAATATGTGGGAGGGACATATTTTTATACTAGCTTACCCTCAACTTTAAATATTCAGTTTTCTTTAAACATATAAGTAGAAAACGAAAACTACAGAATATGGTAAACTGTTATATATTTTTATCCCCTTACGGGAGGTTCCTTGACGCTGGTGAGGGGCTCTTGATCTAGGTAATTGGATCTGTGCTCCAGTTCCCTGAATTGAGCCTGAATGCCTGCCATCATCCTCCCACAGGCGCTGTATAATCCGTACGGGTTTAACGCTCCACCACAATTTTATATATAAATAATATATATATATAATATATATATATATATATATATATATATATATATATATATATATAAATATATATATAATATATAATATATATATATATATATATATATATATATATATATATATATAAAAGAATTGAGAAATTCCAAGCGCTTTCGTGACTACTCACATTATCAAGGAACTATGAAAGTAAAGCATCCAAGGAAGTGGTTTAGTTGATCTTTATGAAGAGGAAGAGGAAGCAAAAACTTTTCAGATTTACCCAGAAGGTTAGTAAGCCAGGATAATCCAAGAAAGACCATCACTGTGGCTTGTTTCCTTTGACGTTCTTTGGTCCTCTTTCTGCCTGAAATTAAATGTTAGGCTTATGTGCCAAATAGGAGGATATTTATTGAATAGAGTAGGCTACAAGGAAGATAGGTGTGGGGCAACTATTTTACACCCACATTTGTGGGTAAGTCTCCTTACAGTTGTGCCTCTGTTCCAAAGTCTGGAACAGAACTTCTCCAGGCTGAGGGACTGACATCCTCAAATCTACGACTTCAAGGGTGATGGACTGATTACAACGTCTTCACATCTCTACTGCTCCTGCCTACTTTCTGTACTCGACTGAAGAAGCCTACTGTGTAGGCGAAACGTTTCGGAATAAAGTTGCCTAAATGTTGCCTATGTGTCTTATCTACCAGATACATGGGTGTTAATCTTACACCTGCTTCCCCTATTCACCTAGCAGTTAATTGGAATCCGGGTTTTAGTAAACTGTTGAGTCGCATTATGTGGGAGATAACCTTAAGACCTCCTTAAACACCGAATACAGCTATAATGGCCAAGATCGATTGTTAGCGTGCTTAGCTCACACATTGAGGTCCGTGGTTTGATCCCCGGTACGGGTGGAAACATTAGGACGTGTTTCCTTAAGACACATAGCAGTAAAATACGTACCTGGGTGTTAGCCAACTGGTGTGTGTCGCATCCTGGGGACAAAATTGACCTAATTTGTCACTGATGTCAGCTAGGCCTGTATACATTGTACATGTTCCTGTAGAAATAAAGATAAATTATTATTATTATTATTATTATTATTATTATTATTATTATTATTATTATTATTATTATAAGCGCTTAATCATATTCCTGGGAAATGTGTAATCAGATTTGATCCCAAGAAGGATAGGGTAGCTCATCCACCTAGTCCATGCATTTGCAGCATCAGCTATATCACTCCTCACTCTGTCTCATCATATGCTTCTTCCAGATCTAAACATTCAACAGACAGCTCCTTGGAAACATAAACACATATGCAGTTAACTTTAAATACTGCTCACATACTATACTTCATCGTCATGGACCATGACACACCTGCTGGGATTTTCCTCAATTTCATTCTTTTCAATTTCTTGCTCCTGAAGAAGCGTTTGTAGTTGCAGTGCGAGAAGCCTAGAGTAACAGAATTCTTCCCCTAGTGGATTCTGTGTATATATGTTTATATATATATATATATATATATATATATATATATATATATATATATATATATATATATATATATATATATATATATATATATATATATATATATACACTCACCTAATTGTGGTTGCAGAGGTCGAGACTCAGCTTCTGGTCCCGCCTTGTCACTGATCACTACTATGTCCTCTCTCTCCCTGCTCCATGAGCTTTATCATACCTCGTCTTAAAACTATGTATGGTGCCTGACTCCACTACATCACTTGATAGACTATTCCACTTCCTGACAACTCTGTGACTGAAGAAATACTTCTTAACATCCCTTTGACTCATCTGAGTCTTCAACTTCCAGTTGTGATCCCTTGTTTCTGTGTTCCCTCTCTGGAACATCCTGTCGCTGTCCACCTTATCTATTCCACTCTACAGTATTTTGTATGTCGTTATCATGTCTCCCCTAATCCTCCTGCTCTCCAGTGTCGTCAGGCCGATTTCCCTTAACCTTTCTTAGTTGGACATTCCCCTGAGCTCCGGAACCAGCCTTGTTGCAAACCTTTGCACTTTCTCTAATTTCTTGACGTGCTTGACCAGGTGTGGGTTCCAAACTGGTGCTGCATACTCCAGTGTGGGCCTGTGTGTGTGTGTTGTCGTGCCGAATAGGTAAAACTTGCGATTTTGGCTTAAATAGCAACGCTCTTCTTGCCGAATAAGGCAAGCGAAAATTTGTGTATGCAATAATTTCGCAAAAATAATTCTGAACCTAACAAAAGTATATTTCATTGTGTTTGTTTATTAAATTATTTTAAACTTCTCTGAAATATATTTAGTTTGATTAGGCTAAATTAAATTGCGCTTGTTATAATAAGGTTAGGGAAGTTTTTTAAGGTACTTTTGGTACAAAATTATTAATTTCTACATTAACATAAATGAAAAAATATATATTTTTTAACGTATAAGAGAAAATTATAGAAAGGACTTAATTTTAAATGAGTTCTTGCTAATTGACCAATATATATATATATATATATATATATATATATATAATATATATATATATATATATATATAATATATATATAATATATATATATAATATATATATATATATATATATATATATATTATATATATATATATTATATATATATATATATATAATATATATGCATGCAATAAGATCACAGTAAACAGGTGATTTCAGAATATGCAAAACAACCACTCTGAAAGAATAGAGAAATTCCAAGCGCTTTCGTGACTACTCACATTATCAAGGAACTGTGATCTTATTGCATATATATGCATGTATATATATATATATATATATATATATATATATATATATATATATATATATATATATATATATATATAATACGGTCGTTTCCCACCATGCAAGGTGATTCAAAGAAGAAAACATTTACCATTCCACTTAAAACCTTTAGCTGGTTTTTTCTCAAGTGTGCCATTGACCCAAATTAAGGGAACCACCGAATGTAACACCAACTTACATAATGAATGAACAACTGAGACGAAAACATTTTCCATAACAAAAGGGCTTTCCCCAGGTTTTCCCTTATCTAAGAACTAAAGTCCATGTAATAAAACCCTTTTCTTTGATCAAGGAATTAGATTATTTTTCCTCTTCCTTTGCTCAAAAACCTGATTGCCCCCCCCCCTTCCGCAAACGCTGTATTACCCCCTATGGGTTTGGCTTTCCTCGTAAAGGCAATAAAATCCAACAACAACAGAAATTTTCAAAAACCCTGCATTATTCGTCAATGCATTTTTGGGGAAAATTAGGTGCCTCACCTATTTTCCGCAAATTTCAGTGGCATTAAAGGGGCCAAATTTTGAATTCTGTTTTTTGTGGTCCAGTCTCAGTTTTTCCCAAGGTTTTTAAAATGGAAAGTTTGAAAATTTTTTTAGGTGATTAATTGGGAATTTTTCACGTCAAATGTCCCCTTTTTGAACCGGGGAGATTTTTTGTGGTAAATCATTTATGGGGGTTTTTTTTCCTTTTGGGCAATAAGAAAAAACTAATGTTTTTTCCCTTTGAACTTCATAAAGTAAACGCGTTTATTTTTATGTTTTTTATTGTAATTTGAAATTGGCCATTATCGAAAGCAGTTTTTTTGGGTTTTACTCGCACGTTTTTCTTCATTCTCTTCCAGTCCTCTCTTCCCCTTTTTTGCTATTTTTAATTTTGCTTTCCCACGTTTTTCTCCCTTTTTTTCCCCCATGTACTCTCAAAGGGGGCTGAAGGGGGTAAGTCGGGTTTTAAATTTAAATTTTTAAATTTTCCCTTT